TGTAGTGTACATGTTGCCAATGTAACAATTTTAATTTTCCGTTCCAAAGAAATAGTGTTATCCTTTGGAGCTTTAAATATAGCTGGCCATTTCTCTTCAGATGCATGAAGAAACAGTGGTCCGTATAACCACAATGTATGACCGCTTAATTGAGATGCGGCTGTCCCTCTAGATAATACAACTGCGGCGTTGAGATTTGATGACACATGTCTCCATTGATTCGGGCAGGTTGTATCTTGAATTTTCGACAACCTATTTGCAACGAATGTATGGAAATTCGATGCTTTCGCATTTATTCAACATAACACGATTGTCGAATCTGTCCAGTAATGACATTTTATGGATTCTGATTGTAAATTAAGATCCTTTTTCACCTTTTCAGCAAGCTCTGCGCCTAATACAGCTGCACATAACTCTAGTCGCGGTAGGGTTTGCTTTTCAAGAGGTGCTACTTTTGATTTAGCGCATAATAGACGCACAGTCGTTTGTCTGTTTTTCAGCATTTATGTTGCTAGCAATATCTTCAGGTAAAACATCCTTTGGTAGCTGGTGTGAATTAGAGCACCATTTTCTAAGCTTAAATCCACAAGGCAGAAAGATTTTGTTCAACTCTCCTTGAATCCTTTGAGCATCTATAATTGTGTCTGCTCCGGTTAGGCAGTCATCAACATAGAAATCGTTCTTTAGTGCATTTGATCCCAATGGCAATTTTGCCAAATGTTTATTGGCCAAATGCTCCAAGCATTTTGTGGCAAGAAATGGAGCTGACGTTGTGCTATGAGTCACAGTTTTCAGCCGGTAAAATTTTATTTCATCAGACGGATTGTAGCGCCAAACAATCATTTGATTGAATTGGTCTTTTGGATTCATCCAAACTTGCCGATACATTTTTTTTATATCAGCCGTAAAAACATATTTGTGAATTCTGAATCTCAATAGAATAGAAAACAGATCACTTTGAACAACTGGTCCTGGATAAAGCACATCATTCAATGATTTTCCTGTAGATGTTTTACAGGAAGCATCAAAAACTACTCTTAATTTTGTAGTAGTACTTTCCGGTTTAAGAACGCGGTGGTGAGGAATAAAGTAATGCTCCTTTGGTATTTGATTAGGCAATACTTGTTTCATATGACCTAGTTTTTCGTTTTCGGCCATAAATTCGCTATACAAAATTTTAATATCTGGGCTGGTTCTTCGTTCCATCGAAAGGAAACTCCTTGTCGCAATATCGCCAGACTTCCCCAGGGCTGAGGGATCTTCAGAACAAGGTAATCTGACTAGTAACCTTCCGTCTTGTGCATGTTGAAGATTTTCCAAAAAATGTTTTTCGCAATGTCTTTCCTCTGGTGTCCTGTATTTCCTTATTGGTTCCATGTTGTCCAATTTCCAGAATTTTTACATAGACGATTAAGCAAAATCAGCCGAGGAAGCAACCTCGGCTGAGGAAACTACCATGCAATTTTGTGGCATTTTTGAGCACATGTTGATTTTTCCAGCAATGATCCAACAAAATTCGGTGTTCTGGAGAATCGGATGGCCTGGAGACGACTTGATTTGTTCTGGCCTTATGATAGAAAAGTGATGTTCCGCGCCAAGCAGTAAATCAATTTTTCCTGGTCTTGCGAAATAAGGATCAGCAAGCGGAATATTGTTTGAGATTTTTAAATCACTTATTTTTACTTGTTCAGTGGGCTGATCTGCCACAATATGAGGAAGAACAAACGCTTCGACTCTTGCTTCAAAATCACTATGTTTTGATTTAATTAGTGCACTAACACGACCTTTACTTATTCGCGGCTGGGCTCCAACTCCCTCAATGCGAAGGTATGTTGGATGTAGTTGCAACGATAACCGCTTAACGAGTCGTTCAGATATTAAATTTATTTGTGATCCGGAATCGAGAAGTGCGCGAAAATCTCCTTCTTGATTGTTTACTCCTTGCACTATGACTCTAGCCGTTGCTAACAGTGCGTATTTTTTCTCACAACTGTTTTTAGTAGCAGCATACGCGGCTGTTTTTGGTTCGGTACTGGATTTTCCGTTACCTAAATGTAGCAATGTGTTGTGCTTTTTGTTGCATTTTATGCATCTATATTAAGATATGCATTGTTTGGACATGTGGTCTACCTTTAAGCAATTAATTCACAATTTCTTTTGCTGGACCCAGGCCAGCCTTTTACGAGGAGAAATATCCTTAAATCTATCGCATTTGTAAATGCTATGTCCTTTTTGACAAAACAGGCACGCCAATGAACTCGCTATCGCTTAAGCACTTGTTTTGTGTTTTCCGTAGGCATTTTGCCGCCAATGGCTTCAAGTGCGAGAAAACGTTGTTCCAGAAACGCAAGGAACCCTTTTATTGATTGAATTTCCCTGGTATCTAAAATTGTTTGCTCATACAGTGCGTGTGCGTGAGTCGATCTAGTTTTCTTGTCATATGAAACAGAAGGACTGGATCCCAGGTTTCTGTTCTAATTCCAATATTTTTTAAGGCTTGCAATGATTCATTGATGTTGTCATGCAAATTTTTTATTGATTGTGATCAAATATCGCAGTAGAAAGGACTCGCTTATTATTGAAACATTCTTTAAGCATGGTCCAGGCGCCATAATTAACTTCTGTTAATTCTAAATGCCTAACTAACCTTTCTGCTTCTCCAGAGAGATTTGCTTTAAGATACCACATTTTTGTATCTTTGGGATAGCAGATTCATGATTTTTATTCAAAATGTCATGAAATTGTTGCCATTTTAGATAGCTTCCATCAAATTTTGGAATGCAAACTTTTGGCAACTGTATTGAAGAGATTGCAGCCACCAATGAATTGGTAGCTACTGAAACTGCTTCAGTTGATGGCTGACAAAATTGTAACATTGTTTCTTCAGCGGAGATATATCGCTCCATACTATAACCTAATTCATCAGGTTCGATGCACAATTTGTGAATTTCAATTGACTTTCAATTTGTTCCATAAATTATCAATTACTGATTTATAAGTAAATTTGTTTTCGGGAGCTATATGTTTCATAGTTATTGACATAGATTCCAGAACCGCCGCTTGGTGTCTTATTAATTTTTGTATTTGTTCCACCACTTCTGACGATGTTTCAGTTTCCATCGATTGAAGAATTTTAGTATTGAATTCTTCGATACCTTGATACACAATCTTTTTCATTTGATTGTAGTATTGCTTTTGAAAATATTCATGCGACATTGGAGTATCATTTAACATTTACAGGATAATATTATTTCCTTTGTCGAATTTTTTCCAATACTCCTCAATTTGGCGATTTCTGTCTTCGAACTAAGACGTCTTTTCCTATCTTTTGCTGGAATTCTTTTTGATGTTTCTCAGTAAAATTTGGATTTCTTCGCCAATTTGGCTTTGAATGGCAATCAAATTTTCAACCTCCATTTTGCCTTATATAATGCCTGACCCTTTGGAAGATAATTTAGTTGCTTAATATAAGCTGGATACGCTTCTACTCGCAACTGATTTTATGGTCAAAGACAGGTAATGTTTTAAGGGTTAGAAAAAGAGCCAACTCAATAATTTCAAATCTTTTTAACTTGTTTGTTAATTGTTAGGATACAATCGCTTCCCAAAATGTGCAAGAGTCGTCGTGTTGACTACTTGAAATTGTTGTATTCCAGTTGAAGAGCCGCCTTGTTGACTACTTAAATTTCGGAAATTAATCTACGGTTATCCTGAAAGTCGCCGAATTGACTTCAGTAAATCGGATTACATTTTTGATGTAACTTCTTCTACTGACTTCTTCTACTTTTAAATATTTGTGTTATTGGAGTCGCCAAGTTGACTTCCAATATTGTAGTAAAAGATCGCCAAGTTGATCATTTACTCCTAATAACAGGATTATTAAGCAAGATTTTCACAACTTTAAATCTAGATGATTCGATCGCCAAGATGGTCGGGAATCTGTCTAGAAAAATATGTGCAGAAATAAGTCGCCAAGTTGACTAGAATTTCATGCAACACTCGGGGTCACCAAAATGTTTGTAGATTTATTGAGTTTTTATTATTTATATATGTGGTTGCCGCTAGAACATAATCTAGTGACAGTAGGACGCTAAACCAACACTTGAATTGGTTTAACTCGGAGAAAATCATGCATATGAGGGCCAAAGACACAGCGATGCTCACTCGTAGAATGCAGAGTAATTGAATACACAAGGATTACTTGAGTACTGATTTTATTAGGGTTGAGGTCGGGTTTATATACACGATTTCAGAGTCAAGGGGGCCACCATTGCCCAGAAGTGGAATGGGGTTGTTAGTTAAAAATACATTGCATTGCTAAGGTTCTAAGATATACAACCTCGATAGTGCCACCACTCGATATTTTCGATAGTAATACTTTAAACAATCGATATCGATTTTTTAAATGCTTTATTGTTATTATGTTTTCTACAGTTTCAATTTGTTGAAATTAATATAATTATGATTTCTAACAAAACAAAACAATGAAATCCGTTATTTTGAAACTTAAGTAATGTAAGTCAAAGAATAAAAATAAATTTAGTTCAGTAGACATTGGGCCAAAAAAAAATTAAATCCATTGTTTGAAAAGTAAAGCAACAAACCATACGGTAAAAAAAAATTAGTCTATTCGATTTTTGTCTCACATTAATAACATGTTTAAATGCTGTACCTTTAAGAAGGCTCTTCTGTCTGAATTTATTTGGCCGGCTCTGCTTAACATCCGATCAGAATCCGTCGAGAATGCACCACCCTTGGTTGTTCCACTCGATATGTCGATGGTGGTGGAAATAATCGATGGCGACCCGCAGCACATTCGCCATCTATAAAATCACACTATCGTCGATTGTTTTGTAGCTCTAATTTAAAGTAGGTAGTTTTTTTTTTATAAATTTACAAAATTATTTTTTTTTTTTTATATATAATTAAAAATGTTGGGAACAATTATTTATTTTACATAAATATTTTTATGTGTTAAACAAAATAAGTTAAGCTGTTTATTTATATTATCATGTAAATTTGTATTTCGTCTATTTAAAGTACGTTTGTTATTATGACTATTATAAAACTAACAGTAATTCATCGGTTTTAATTGTACGTTTACTGGATATACAGAAACTGTATTTAATTTGCTGTTTCACAAGCGTCTACCCAGTCATTGTAAACATCAATCGGCTCAGAAAGAAAGTTGATTCCAGTCTGAAAATCTTCCAAACACACTCTACAAGTTATTTTGGCAGTGTTTCTCCCTTTATCCCTGAAATAATTAATACAAAATAAATTAATTAAAGCTTAGACACAATAATTTTAAACACATTTAAATATATATAGGCGATGCCAAAGTTGCTTAAAATTTAAATCAGAACATGCTCGAAGCTATACATTTTAACTTCACATGACTTTTCATGGTTGCAGAATGGACAATTAAATTGTTGGTCAAGTGGTTCAATGTTTTTTCTTTTCGGCGGAGGCTTTCTTTTAGACTTTCTTCTTCCCATTTTATTTTTGACAAGTCCTAGTATCTATTAAAGACCAACAATGTAAATATATTTAAAACTTGTCTCAAAAAATAACTTGATCCCCGTCAAGATAACAATAAAATTTGTATGTCAAAGCCATAGAAATCGGTGTTCATTATACCCTATTTCCAATGGAACAGATCTAGGCATTTAGAAAGTAGCTTATAGCTTAAGTACACTTAAGCGGGTTTCCATCGATATCGGAATGAACGGAATAAAACACAACTGCCGGGTACGTTTAGAAGGCTCCAGTATATTGTGTAACAGGAAATTGCTTGTCATTTGTTTTGATACATAGATAAATGAAAAGTAACAAAATCTTTTAATATTAAGATATTGGAACCGAGCACGACTTAGACTCACTTTTTCGCCGTCTATATGTGACTGTGCGTGTGCCAAATCTAAGTAAAAAATCTGTGTTTGGTCCCAAACACAAGAGCGTTATAAGCAGCCTCAGACTGCTTTGCGACCTTAGTGGCTTAGTCCCACAGTCTCTTTGAAAGATGCTCCGTTAGGTTTTGCCGTGCCAAAAACTTTCCCGGTTATTCCTTGACTGTGGAACTTACGTTCCAAACCCTCTTGTTTCATGCCGATATTTAGCAGTTGCTTTTTCGGTGCAACTCTAAAATCTTGGTGCGATAGAATGGCGGCTATCATCGTTTCTGTGAAACAGAGGCATAGTCGAAAGAGATGGGAGGCATTTGAGGTTTACGCTCCCCCAGGAAGCAATTTGAATACCCACTAATCCATAGCATTAAAAAAGTAGAAGCAGGAAATAGAGTTAAAGACCCCCTCCAAATAACACTGCTTATGACACTGTAACTTTTGACGGCAGGTGGAGGGCAGCTGGTTGCTCTGCGGGTACAACTCAAAATATACGTTTTCAAGATATGTTAAAGGATGCCAAAAAAAAATAGTTGTAAAATTTACCCGAAAAATATTGTTTCTTAATGCTATAAAAAATCCAACTAATAGCCGGATTCCATTGGAATCCCACAAGGCTATATGCCGCATTTAGTATAAATGCGATAAATAAATGCAATTAAAATCCATTCGCCCGAACATTTGTTAAAAAATACCAGAAAAGTCTGATTTTTAACGATATTTCGTTAGTGCCACCACTGTAGCAGCTGGGTTTTTATGCAAGGATGGCGCATTATTTGATTTCTTTAAAACATAAAATCAATTTTGCGTAAAAATACCTGAAAACGATAGCAAACGCAGCAAATTCGGCTCGCAGGTCTACAATGCATTACTGCTGCATTTCTGGCAGGATAAAACTCTCACACATACGGGGTTCCTTGCTCTTTTTTAAAAACTGTGATGCTCTCCATTGCAAGCCCGTCAAACAACACTTTTAGCTTCCCTTTCTTGTCGCCCAAGTTGGCAAATGCCTCGATAGCATTATGGATGACCTGTTGCTCACCATAAATATCTTAAACTTGTTCATATTCATGATTTTTAATTCATGTCGTTTTGATGTGCGACAATTCAAAAGAAAACCAACCCAGATCAGCTGATCGTGGCATTAGCTAAATGCTAATGCGGCAATGGAATCAGGCTATAAATATATATAAATCCTGTTTCATAGCTGGATTCCATTGGCGCATTAAAACGCATTTATCGTAATGCCCATTTATTTACACAGGGAATCCCATTAGGCTAAATGTCGCATTTAAAATAAATGCGATAAATAAATGCGATAAAAAATCATTCGGCCCGCACGTTTTCTGAAAAAAAAACAGAAAATACCGATGTTTAACGATTGTTTTTCGTGCCACCACTACAACAGCTGTTTTCTATACGCAAGGTTGGCGCAATTTCGGAATACAATATCTATTTTGTATAAATTAAAATTGATCGCGAAATTGTAGCTGAGTTATTAGTTCTGAATTTTTTTCCATAACAGTATTTTGTGTGTAATCTTTTAGTTTTGCGCTATATAATTTTCCATCCCATATCTGGAATTTTCCCGATATTTATTTGTAAATTTTCTTGTAAAAGAAAAAAATTTGTCACTTGGCGTAATTTTTTTTTAATGAAACATAGTTTTTCGGGTAATTTATTAAATATTCTATTGATGATAAATGGGCGTATTTACCAAAACAACATGGTCACTGATCACTGATTTATCAGTTCTGCTGAACGATAATGATACGTTACGTATTTATTAATACATTTTTGATTGTTTTCTTTTTTGGAGTCCATAAAGTGGAGCCTTAAGTCTGATGAGGGTCTAGCATCCGCCACGTATTTCATGAACAACTTGATCGAGGCTGTAAAAATATGAATGGCGTTCTTTGCCGCGAATTGCAAAAATGCAAACATTCTGCTATTTTTGCAACGAAATGCATGGTTAGAATAATATTTTTTTTTTTGTTACTTAGTTTTAGACTTGAATTTTCTTCTTTTATTATTGAATTCCTTATTTTTCTTATACCAAACTGAAATTGATTTTGATCTCTAATATTTTTAGTTGTAGTTTTCAGTACTATTACAAAAAATCTGCATAAAATCTATATAAGTATACATAATTTCGAAATTGCCTATAATTTTATAGCCTAATTCCATTGCCGCATTAAAACGCATTTAGCCAAATGCGCATTCATTTACACAGGGAATCCCATAAGGCTAAATGCCGCATTTAAAATAAATGCGATTTTTAAATGCGATTAAAAAGCATTCGCCCCGAACATTTTTAGAAAAAATACCGGAAAATACCGATGTTTAACGATATTTTGTACGTGCCACCACTACAACAGCTGTTTTCTATATGCAGAGTTGGCGCAATTTTTGATGTCTTTTGAATATAAAATCTATTTTGTATAAAATGACTGAAACATAGGGCGCACGCTGTAAATTCTGCTCGTACTACCACAATACATTACTGCTGGATCTCTGGCACAAAATAACTCCCACATCCTTGCCCTTTTTAGAAACTGTGGTGGTTTCGATTGCGAACCCGTCATAACAACGCAATCAGCTTCTCTTCCTTGTCGTCCAAGTTGGCAAATGCCTCGGTCGCATTATGGATGTCCTGCTGAGCATTACATTTTAATTAATTTCTTTTGTATTTGCCAAAATTCAAAAGTAAACAAGCCCAGATCTGCTGTTCGTTCCACTCACATGTCGTAGTAGCATTAACTAAATGCTAATGCGCCAATGGAATCAGGCACATTTAAAAAGTCCACTAATGCGACAATGGAATCAGGCTATTAATCTGTTTAAAGAACCATACAAATCGAATTTTTGCTCTCAATACATCGAAAATATGGACTGGGACCAGTATCGATAGTTTCCCAGCTCTACTGTGCCTTAGAGGTGGAGAAACCTTGATGTTAACATCGATGTCATCGATGTTTTCGAAACATCGGTGACATTGATGTTCCGCAAGCCAACATCGATGTTTTCCATCTCTAACTGTGCATTGAACAAGGAAAAGGTGTACATCGTAAATTAAATTAAATTAAATTGTGTTTTATGAATTATCTTATGTAATAGCCTGATTCCATTGCCGCATTAATGACCTTTGTAAAAGTGCCTGATTCCAATGGCGCATTAGCATTTAGCTAATGCTACTCCGACATGTAACTGGCACGAACAACTGACCTGGCAAATCCAAAAGAAATTAATTAAAAATAATGAATATGAGTGAGTTTGCTCAACTCTTTAATGCTCAGCAGGACATCCATATTGCGACCGAGACATTTGCCAACTTGAACGACAAAGAAGAGAAGCTGATTGCGTTGTTATGACGGGTTTGCAATGAAGGCCACCACAGTTTCTAAAAAAGGCAAGGATCCCCGTATATGTGGGAGTAATTTTATGCCAGAGATCCAGCAGTAAAGCATTGTGGTACTGCGAGCAGAATTTGCAGCGTGCGCTCTAGGTTTCAGTAATTTTTATACAAAATAGATTTTATATTCAAAAGACATCAAAAATTGCGCCAACCTTGCTTATAGAAAACAGCTGTTGTAGTGGTGGCACGAAGAAAATATCGTTAAACATCGGTATTTTCCAGTATTTTTTCTAAAAACTTTCGGGGCGAATGGTTTTTAATCGCATTTAAAAATCGCATTTATTTTAAATGCGGCATTTAGCCTTATGGGATTCCCTGTGTAAATAAATGCGCATTTGGCTAAATGCGTTTTAATGCGGCAATGGAATCAGGCTATAAGTTGTTTTTGTTAGAAACAAGTAAAGTACGCATGTTCAAAATTTGGAGATGAGTTTATTTTGGGGTTCATATAAAGGTGCCCTGGCAATTGTATAAATCGGAGAAAAGCTTTAAAAGCTGCATTTGAAAACTTTCAATTCACCTTTTTTCTAAAGCTTAGCTGTCAGTCGTTATTTCTTCAGTAATCGTTCGAATATTGTATATAATGTCGCTTATTTTTGTGTAGATACATACATACATAAACGAGATTTGCTTAAACTTCGAAATAAATTTGAAAGTAAACACAAATGTACATAATTGATAGTAATTATTCGGTTCCACTTCTGTTTAAATGACTTTTATTATTCATCTGCTAATAATTTTTTTTGGTGCAATTTTTTACATTTTGGTTTTTTATTACAATAATACATAGATTTTAATTCCGTGTAATTACATATGTATGTATGTAACTGCAATACTTACTTTCATATGTTGGGCCACTTGTTTGTACTGTTTATAGTGCATCACCGTTCAACAATATTTGATATGAAATATTCATACGTACATATGTAAGTACAATTATATGAAGTAGTGTTGGAAATCATAAGTTTACGCGTTATAATCAACGTTATAAAAATATATGTATACATAATAATCATTATAAATCAAATCAATAAATAAATAATATCCAGTTTCACCAGACGAATTGATTGAATTGCTTAATAATCCTTACAAAAGTAAAGTAATTAACGTGCGTACACAGATATGCTTGTTTAAACCTTATGTTAATTAGAAATTGTTTTTCCCGAAGGAATCGTGTGTAAATATGTCTGTACCAACATATGTATGTCATTATAGGTATAAGCATTTATTAGGGTGGTCAAAAATATGTAACAGGCCCACACAGCTTATTTCAACCAAACACTGTCTAAAACTTGAACAGCCTATTTAAAATAACCTGAACAGTTTATCAAAAAATTTTAACGTAGGATTATTCTCAAAAAAGCGAAAAAGTTCCAAAAATATGGCCACAGCAAAGATTAAAATAGAGCTATAGAGTCTTTAGCCATAGCTAATTTCAACGAAGTAAGAAACTTAACTCGTAGATAAAGTTTATGGTCATTTAAAAAATCTAAATATATTGTTAAATAATCCTTCTATTCAACAATAATTTGTATTACTTTTTGAATTGATTCCACAAATCCTATTTGTTTGTTGTATTGGGTAAATGATGGTCCACTCCTTAAGCAAAGTTATTTTTGTGATTTTGGTAATGGCTTAATAATTTCAAACGTTATTTTGTATTTATATTTTCAAATAATTATATTAATACTAAAATATAAATAATTACAGCTTCGTTGTTCTTAAATTAAAAGAAATCAAACAAAAACATCTCTTAACGAGGTTAAAAAGTCGTGACGATCTTCAACATGCAAAATACATATCTGAAACCAAATTTATGACGAAAAATTAATAAGCATACGACTAAATAAAATTTTCCCAATTGTGATCGCTTCATCCAGGAATTTTGCCTACACAGGCATTTTTATACTCTTGCAGAGGGTGTTATAATTTCAGTCAGAAGTTTGCAACGCAGTGAAGCAGACGTTTCCGACCCTATAAAGTATATATATATTTTTGATCAGCATCACTAGGAGAGTCGGCCTAGCCATGTCCGTATGTCCGCCCGTCCGTCCGCCTGTCCGTTTCTACGCAAACTAGTTCCTCAGTTTTAAAGCTACCTGAGTCGAACGATTATAGCATATAGCTCTCATAGGAACAATCGAAAAAATACATGAAAAAACTATAACTTTGCTGTTTTTATACCCTTGCAGAGGGTATTATAATTTCAGTCAGAAGTTTGCAACGCAGTGAAGGAGACATTTCCGACCCTATAAAGTATATATATTCTTGATCAGCATCACTAGCAGAGTCGATCTAGCCATGTCCGTCTGTCCGTCCGTCTGTCAGCCCGTTTCTACGCAAACTGGTCTCAGTTTTAAAGCTATCTGCATTGAACTTTCCCAAATGTTGTCTTTCTGTTGCAGGTAGTATATAAGTCGGAACGAGACAGATCGGACGACTATAGCATATAGCTCCCATAGGAACAGGCGGAAAAAAATTATAACTTTGTTATTAAATTTTTTTTTTTAGTTCTTCGACATATAGTAATGGTTAAATATTTCAGAATTACGGTTTAAATTTTATTAAAATCGGACGAGTATATTACATAGCTCCCAATCGGAAAATTAAATAAAAAAATTTTTAACTGCTGTTTTTAAATATTTTTTTTAGCTCTTCAACATAAAGTAATGGTAAAATATTTCAGAATTACGGTTTATATTTCATCAGAATCGGAGGTCTATAGCATATAGCTCCCATAGGAACAATCGGAAAAATAAATGAAAAAAATATAATTTTGCTGTTTTTTAATTTATTTTCTATTTCTTCGAATTAAATTTTATCAAAATCGGACGACTATAACAAAATGTTCCCATTGAAACAATAAAAATATTAACAAAAATTTTATGATATTAATTTGTTTATTTTTTATTTTTTTAATTTTTTTAATTTTTGTTGACTAATTAATAATTTGACAGTTCAAAATTACGCTTTTAATTTTATTCGGAAAATGATATCATATAGCTGCCATAGGAACTATGAAATAATTGAGCTGCAAATCATCATAACTTCAATGTTTTTAAACATATACACAAGTCAATCATAATTTTAATGTTTAAAGAACCAAAACTGCGTCTATCCACAGACGCAATGAAGCAACCCAAGTGTAACTAGACCCTTAGAAACTGCAATTGTCTCTTTAGCAAACCTGTCAAACGACACCAACAGCTCCCCTTTCCTATGGACGTCCTACTGAGCGTTAAAGAGTTCCGTAAACTCACTCATGTTCATTATTTTTCATTAATTTCTTTTGGATTTGCCACAATACAAAAGGAAACAAACCTAGATCAGTTTTCGTGCCATTCACATGTCGGAGTAGCATTAGCTAAATGCTAATGCGTCAATGGAATCAGCACATTTAAAAAGTTCACTAAAGCAGCAATAGAATCAGGCTATTACAATCAGCTATTTGAGATCGTGGTCTGATTTTAACAAAATAAGAACCGTAATTCTGAAACAATAAAACATTACTTTGTATCGAAGTATATTCAAATTAAATAAAAAACAGCCAAATTATAATAATTCAATATTTTTCCCGATTGTTCCCATGGGAGCTGTATGATATAGTCGTCCGATTTGGCTCGTTTCAACTAGTCTAGTTTGCGTAGAAACGAGTGGACTAATAGACCGACATGGTTAGATCGACTTCCTATTGATCCTGATAGGGTCGGGAATGTGTTCTTCCATTAATACCAATTGTAAGCATATAAAATTGAACGAGAAAGTTGTCTGACCCCCAAATGAACATTCAAGTCTTCATAACTTCGTTGTTTTTAAGATATTTGCTTCATCTTGATGAAGCAAAGTTTCTGATTTCGTATTAGTTTGCTTAAATTAAAAATAGTTTTAAATTTAACTTTTGAAAAATAATTAACATTTTACAAATATTTAGTTAAAAATGGGTCTTCCTTTAACCAGGAACCTGGAAAGTTAAACACAAATCGGATCTAACAAATTTTTAATAGTTTGCAGAATAAGAAAAATAAAATAAAATCCTGAGCAGGCTTCGTGAATGGGCCTTTTTGATAGAAAAGGCTTTATAGTGCGTTACCGAGATTGGTTCCTTGTTTAAAGTTAAAGTTAAAGAACATAACTGAAAAACGGCTAAATCAACTAGTCTCAAATTTTAACACGAGCTTTCTTTTTTAGTAATTAAACAAAACCTTCTTTTTACCGAAAACAAAATTTTTGGAAACAATTTAAAGTCAAATTTGTGGTCGAAACTCAAATTTATTAGAAGAAACCGCCATTTTGGTAAAAAAAAATTGATTAATTACTTGATTAAACATTAATTCTGCAAAGTTTGTTCGGAGGATCCAGTTTAGAGATACATATGTGGTCGTCGCAAAACATCTTTTTTCAGAGCAGCTCCCGGAGATCAGCTGTAGCTCCTTTTCAAACAAATAATGGAGTTTTAGATCAATTAACCCACAAATTTTTTTCAGAAAAAATTCTGAAAGATTCCCTTTTTTTCTACCTTCTAACTGTATACAACCCCTTAAGCCATCTTACTCAGCGGTTTCCACATTGATGGATTCTAGTTGTAATCTGGTGAGTGCCGGCCTGTAAAACCAAGGTATAAATTTTCGAACCACGCTGTCATTCCTTATCTTAATGTTTTGTTATCTATACTATTGAAAACCATTCTATTCTAAGTCAGAAATACTATCCAAAAAAGTGGTTTTCAATAAAAAAAATGTTAATGATTTTGTGTGGCCCACTTAGCAAATTCTAACTTCCATCTAAAATTCGGTTATTTGTTTAAAGCAAACTACAAAACTGTTTTAAAAGATCAGTATATTGTATGTATATGTACATTGTGCATATGCTTAATACATTTTAGATATTTTTTTTAAGCAAGAAAGAAAACCTAGCTTTTACTAGTTTTTTATTCTGTAAAACGACGTTATTTTGTTTTTATCGGATATGTTAACAAACAGCTAGGTCTAATTTCCAATGAATTTTTCGATCCTTCTTATGGAAGCTTGAAAATATCGTTCTTATTGATCTAATAGCCTGATTCCATTGCCGCATTAAAACGCATTTAGCCAAATGCGCATTTATTTACACAGGGAATCCCATAAGGCTAAATGCCGCATTTAAAATAAATGCGATTTTTAAATGCGATTAAAAACCATTCGCCCCGAAAGTTTTTAGAAAAAATACTGGAAAATACCGATGTTTAACGATATTTTGTTCGTGCCACCACTACAACAGCTGTTTTCTATAAGCAAGGTTGGCGCAATTTTTGATGTCTTTTGAATATAAAATCTATTTTGTAAAAAAATGACTGAAACCTAGAGCGCACGCTGCAAATTCTGCTCGCAGTACCACAATGCTTTATTGCTGGATCTCTGGCATAAAATTACTTCCACATTTACGGGGATCCTTGCCTTTTTTAGAAACTGAGGTAGCCTCCATTGCAAACCCGTCATAACAACGCAATCAGCTTCTCTTCTTTGTCGTTCAAGTTGGCAAATGTCTCGGTCGCAATATGGATGTCCTGCTGAGCATTACAGAGTTTAGTAAACTCACTCATGTTCATTAATTTTAATTAATTTCTTTTGTATTTGCCAAAATTCAAAAGTAAACAAGCCCAGATCAGCTGTTCGTGCCACTCACATGTCGGAGTAGCATTAACTAAATGCTAATGCGCCAATGGAATCAGGCACATTTAAAAAGTCCACTAATGCGGCAATGGAAAAAGGCTATAATAAAGGTACAACGGTTATACTAAAATAGTTAATCATCACTATATCTTTTATATAATATAACGAAGATATAATTTTTTCATTTTTTTCCGATAGTTCCTAAATGGACAGACGGACATGGTGGTGCTGGTCGAGGGTGTATATATGCTATATTGGGTCGGAAAAGTCTTTGACTG